ATATGTAGGTTATACCATCATAGAAAGAATAGCTAGCCTTAGCATAGATGTGATTAACTGAGCCAAAGGGGGCATGTCATGTTCTCATTTTCAATTATGTTGTACTTATTGTACTGCATTACAATATATAATCAAAAATGTTCTTTTAATTGAAAGAAATAAAACTAAAGTTATTTGAATTCTAAACGTTCTCTGCCTTATATGGAACCAGATAGCCCTTTAGAGAAGAGGCTAGCATTTTTTATATATTCAACAACTCTAACAAAGATTTACTCTATAACAGATACCTAGGCAGGCTCTGGCATTATAATAGCAATAGAATGAAAAGTTCACTCATTGACTTTGCAATCTAGTATAACAACAGAGATCTACAATAATCAAAGAATCATATACCTAAATGTAAATTTGCATCCATGAAAGGTGCTATGATATAAAGTACTTGGAATTGATCTAGAATTCATGAGTTCCTAACTCTCTTAAATTGGATTAAATCCATTGATCCAGTAATTCTACATTTAGGAATTTATCTTACATATATTAGTATGCTATCTCATTTTCTTAAAGATAGGTTATGGAGTTGTATTGTTTGTGAGTTTATAAGAAATTTTAACTGTTCAATGATAGGAGACTACTCTATTAAATTATGCAATAACTATATAATAGAAATACTTGTGTCATTAAAATATAGTAGACAATAAAATGAGATCTTTTAAATATATATTACATGAAAAACATATTTCAAAACAACATGAATACATGACAGGTTAATACCACTTATATTAAAAGGAAGAAAAGGAGTGTATAGGTATTTATATATATAGTCTGGAACAAATTATCTTTCTCTGAAGAATGGGAGGAGCTATTTTACTTTCACTTTTAATTTTTAGCATTTTGTATTATGTTTTTTATTTGTACATGTGTGATGATGGTGGTTGTTTTATTTACAAGGGCATCTATAGTTTATTAATTATGTACAATTTTGGATACTTAATGGTCGTTTAATGGGCTCCATTACATGACCATTACAGAATCAAAATGTTCAGTGAAGGAATCCTAATAATTTGTAATTTTACACCATCACTATGGGGACAAAAATTACTGTACTACCTAGAGTTCCTTAGATGAATCTAGCAACCAGATTGAGAACCACTAGTCTAAATATCAACTTCAGGAAAAATTTTTACATTGAAGTTTACATCCTTATTAGGAACCAAAATAGTTCCACAAGTTTTATAACTATTCAGAAAACAAAATGTACACCATGATAAAAATATTAGTAGTTATGCCACTTGCTGATGTCATAGTCCTTTTCAGAATCTACAGAAGCCCGCAAATGACATTTGAAGACAAAACAAGGTTTTTGTTCTTCTGCTAGAAACGTTTACTTCAAATACATCATCCTTAAAGCAGCTACTTGTACAGTATTACTAGGGCTCTACCAGTCTTAATTTATAACGAACCAAGGATTTGAAGTAGAAAAACTGAGAATTAACTATTTCCTATAAAAACCTCAGAGCTTTTCATATTATTACTAATTTCTCATGAAAATCCTTTAGTTGAAATAAACCTCAGGGTTCATGGTACCCTCCATCTCTAATCATGTTTCCCCACCTTAGAACATGAATAAAACAGCATTTGAAGTGAGTAAGCATATGGCTGCTTGAAATAACCAAAATAATTATCTATTTAATTCTAGATCCACCCATTACTAGCTGTATGACATTAAGTTACATAAGTTTGTAGCATCTCAGTTTACTCATCTGCAAAATGACAATAATGGGATTAAATTCACAGTGGTGTTGTAAGAAGTAAAATAAAACAGATAAACTGCTTGAAAATCCCTGGTCTATAGTAGTAATCAGTAATAAGCTTTTATCTCTAATCATACTTCTGAACTCTCAAAAAGACATAAAGTCATAGTCTTAACACTTAAGGCCACAGCTTGTATTTGCCTTTGACTTCGAAGCTTGTATCTTTTACTTAGTATCCTACGTCCCTTGATTATCTCAGTGCCATCTCTGGATAAAGCATTGGTAGGCACAGGCATATGAAAGGATGAAAAAGATAAGACATCTTTCCTCTTGATTAGGGTCAAGTAAAAAGAATAAGAAATGTGCATAAATTATCATTACATACGTAGGAAGCCATGCCATCAGAGGCGGGTATATGGGAATTCAGTGGACACAACAGTTCATTCCAGTTGATAGGTGGTGCAGGGCTGGAGGTGGGAATCAAATAGTAACCACCATGGTATGGAGTTCAGGCCAGCTACACAAAAAGGTACCACTCAGCAGGGTCTGGCCATAAGGGAAGACTATGACCTCATAGAGTTTCTGGCTACACACACTCTAAGTCTCTTTCCACACAGGCATGCTGTTCAGGGTGAAGTTTCTCAGAAACACCAGTGCCAAATATATCTGTATATAAACATGGAGGACTTTAAAATTCCTCTGTACCAGGGCCCTGCAGATAAAAGTTGAAATAAATAACTCAAATCTATGAGTTTAATTCCATAAAGCTATGTCAGCATCCCGGCTGTTTACAGTGAGAGCTCCGTGGTCCATCTCTCCAGGTTAGTAGTGGAGAAAAGCAGCACTGCTACCAAATGGTGACTGGATAGTCATGGAGAGAAAAATATGTTGACATTTATCCAAAGCCCAGCAAGCAGATGGCAGTGGGCACAAAATCTATCATGACAATTGGCACCTCATTGGGGTGCTCTGAGCAAGGAAGGGGACTGTAAAATGCCCTTTTTTGGCTGCCCTTCCATGAGGCATATTGGTGGCACAGGAGGGGGACAACTGCCTGACTGGTGTCAAGGGGAGAAGAGATGGCCTTTAAAATCTAGGCTACGGCAGCCTCCTGGGTAGTCAATCTGGTGCCTTTTGAGCATCCAGAGAATGACTTAAAGATGTGTATCGGATTTCCTCTAGGATAGATGATATCCAACAGATTCCATTCAAAGGTGGCTCACAGGATAACAAACTAAGCTCCGAGATAGAAGGGGTCTGCATTTTCTGTAGCCAGGCCTAGTATGTTAAGTAAATGGCACAATATTTTTACCTATTTTAGAATTCTTAAGCTGCTGGTATGTGGATAACCAGTGCATTTGTGCTTTCTAAGTGTAAGTGCCAGTGGATGACTAGGGTTGATAGCTAGTTGAATGAGAAGGATCATTACCAGCAACACTCTACTTTGCAGAGGTTTGATAATTTGAAATTTTTTAAAAAGTTGATGAAGATCCATTTTTTCTGGATCATATAGTCTTGTTGTGTTTATACTATTGCCTAACATTTCAGATACCTTAACCAATTGGCATTAACACATGTATAGATTGTATCACAATAGACACACACACACATTGCTTAGTCTTAAGCCTTTGATTAGACTTCTCTGAATCCACAGAAGATAAAATACAATGCCAAACTGCTGGCCTATATCCCAAGAAACTGTCAACTAAGTTTTAGTAGTAAGAATACCTAACTTTTTAAGTCACTCTGAAATAAAATAGATATTATTCCAATAAGAACTTTATTTACACAAAATTTGACTACTTTGAATTTTCAAATCAGTTTTTAATATAGAACTCTACCCTCAAAAAAAGAAAAAAACCCAGTCGTTTTAATATAGAACTCTACCCTCAAAAAAAGAAAAAAAAAACCCAGTCAATGCACCTAAGATCCCCTTGACTTATAGTGTTCTTTAAATAAATTACATAAAATGTGCAGTTTTATATAGACAGACTTTTAGGAAGGAGAACTCAAGTCGTTATTTCAATTGTCTTAGCACCTACAACAGTTTAACAATAAAGGTATCTGATTATTCAACAACCCACCCATATCAAACAGAAAATGGCCAGTTTTGAATAGTTTCTGATCCCAACTGTGGTCAAGACAAAGAAACCATAATCAGTTACTGGCTGCAGAAATTATTATATTATTTCATAATAGCAAGTAACATAAATATCAATATAAATATTACATAAATATATACCTTTATGAAATATTATGCTGAGTAAATATTTTAATTAAATATAATGCTATAATCAAGGAAAATATTAACAATATATAGTTCATTAAAATTGAGATATATAAAACTATCCCAAAGATATAAAATGATAAGCATGCCAACAAAATAAATGGTAAGGGATTAAAGTAAGTGAAGATGAATTTTGGTTGAGAAATTAAAAGTCAACATATTATTTATTTATATGCAGCTACTTTTCCCAAGAGTATGATCTAAAAATTCCGCCCCCCCGCCCAAAAAAAAAAACAATCAAGTAAAATTTTAGGTAAGGAACTCCTTTCATTTCCATAATGGGCAAGAGACTCCTGCTCTACTCTTTAGGAGAAAACTTCTTGACTCTGCCACCTTACTGAGTAGTGGAGTGAACTGTGACTGCTCAGGCATGGCCTAGGGTTTTGGCCCTATTACACTCGCTCAGCTGCATCAGTGCATAGGAAGGGAGGCTGTGGTCCTCCGTGGGACTGGTTAAGGTTGGCTCTGCAGGCCCAGCTCTTCCTACTGGCAGCCCCCACAGTGTAGAGTTGATGGGACAAGGACTGGTAAATAAGGTAGTCCCTCTTTCCTAATTATTTAAGATTATCTATACCTCTCTCCCCAACACTGTAAACCCAATAGCACCAAGGAATAGACCCCAGGCTGCTCTTTTATTTAAATCATCCTTTCCTTGGTAACTGAGGCCACACAGCTGGTTAATAGGACATGGGGTTTATATATAATCCTGGCAGAGAAATATTGATCCGCAGAGTGCAGGGTTCATTTCAGGATGACCTGTTTTGAAACATTTTGATTTTAAATCATCAATCCCAACTTATTGGGAGAGCTGTCTGAGTAAAATAAAATCCTTGCCAGAATAAACATGCACGTTCCTTGCAATAATTTTTTCTCCCACAAATGAACACAGGACATGCTCTAAAAAAGCCCCACCCAATGTTAAAACACAATCAGCTCATAATGTATCATTTAAACATGAGTACCTCCAGCCAGGATCTTCTCTTCCAATTCTGCCATTTGCTTCTTATAGGCTTTTAAAGCTGCTTCTTTGAAAGAGGGACGGATTCTCTTTGGCTTTGTGATTTCCACGGGCTGTTCAGGAATGTTTTGGTTTTCATCTTCTTTTATTTCCATTTCAGGTAACGTTTCATTTAAGGGTTCCAACCCTCCTTCACTAACCACATCATCTGCCTGCCCATCATATCCCTCATCCTGTGGGGTTTCATAAGGTGTTTCATAAGAAGAGTGATCATATTCCTGCATTGGCTCATCTGTTTCAGTAATACTAGTCCTGTTTTCTAGCTTAGCAAGAACTTGTTCTATCACTTCAACATAATCTGTTTCATTATCTGCCACTGGTTCACTATAGTCCTCCTCATCTTCTGCTTTGTAGTAATAAGGTTCTGTGTAAACATCAGAGTCCAGGGTGGTACTTGATTCATTTGCAGTTGATTGTGATAATGTCCGAAATCTCCCCATTAAGGAAGAGCCACTGTCCTCATACCCACTGAGACTCTGTGTGCTTTTGTTCCACACCACCTCCAAGGCTGATTTAGCCCGCTGTAGTGTAGATCCAAATTTTGGGAAGCTGAAAGCCTTATCAGAAAGGTCAATGCTTAATCGACTATGCCAAGATTTGGGTGGGGCATCCTCTGAATCATCACTTTGCAATTCACTTTGACTTCGATACATTATGGACAACTGGCTTTGATTTTGGTACAAATCATTAGAATTGGCTTCCTGATAAGAATCATATTGGCCAACCCATTGGCCTTGTGGTTCATTATCCAATCCAGGGCATGGAGATGAGTTGTCATCTTGGGTTAAATCATAGCTCTCAGAGTCATCCTGAAGGTCACTATGGCACTTCCCCGAGTCTTCTTGGTCTTTATTGTAAACATCTAGTTGTTGATCAGAGAGACTGTTTGTGTCGTAGTCAAAAGCTTCCTGAGTGGATGAATCCAAACCTAAATCAGCTCCTTGCTCTACTTGATTCCATTCCTTCCATGGAGAAAGATCCTCATGGAAAGAGAGCTGAGAATCACTGTAATGACTTTGGTCTCCAGATGCACATACCATGCCATTACTCATCCCACTATCCACAGTTTCTGTGTTCCCTTGGACACCCTGAACAGCCCCATCCAAAAGTAAGTCCTGGGGACTGTCATACAAGGTAGGCGTGCCCTCCTGTTTCCTTTGCCAAAGTTCCCGGTCTGAAGATGACAAGAGGGAGCTTCCATTCGTTCTAGTGAAAAACTGATTTTCTGAAAAATCCTCAGAGTAAGATTGACACAGTTTGGAAAAGTCTGATTCAGAACGACTAAGCTTTGCAGTAAAAAAATCACTCTGTGAATGCCAGAGGGGTGTTGCATCTCCATAATGGGTTGTAGTTTGCTTTTCCAAGGTACCTGATTCTGGCAACTGTGAGGAAATTTTATTATAATCTGATTTATTTGAAATTTTGCTGCTACTGGCAGTTTTATTTTTGGCTCTAGCATTGTGTGATTTTGAACTTGACTTGGAAATACTTCCCTTTGTTGGAAAGTCTGACTTGGAAAGCACAGCATAACTGTTTCTATTGAGGTCAGATTCCAGCTCTCCATCACTGTCATCTGGTAGCTGCCAATTATTCTTCTTGAGTTGGGGCTCTGGAGTAGACAACTTTATATCCATGCTCTCATATGTCTGCGAAGATGGTATCCCTTTCTCTTTTCTTTCTCTGATGTCATGAGTAAGGATATCTGTTGAGATTCCGATACCTGTTCCTTTGAGTTTATATGATTTTTTTAAGACGGAATCCCTTTGCTTAGGAGTTTCAAAGTACACCAGTATGGGCCGCGGCTTTGCATTTGGGCAGTCCCTTTGGTGTCCTATTCTCTGAGCAAATTCAATTTTAATAGCATTTGGTGCATCTGAAAAACCCATTTTATCTACTAGAATTTGGTACACCACAAGTTCAACGTATTCAAATCTTTCTTCGGGCACATTTAAAAATCTCAGGCTTGCCTTGCTACCCATATGGCCTAAGTGCTTAATATAATCATGGATGTCTCTGGTTTCCCTCCGAGACTGGACGAACCCTGTACGTAGCTGTTCGATTTCACTTTGTACAACCTCCACACTGCTGGAGATCTCATCGATGGAATGCTTGAGAGCATTGACATGCCCTCGTAGCTCAGAAAGTTCTGTCTCAATCTGACTTATTCCCTGAAGTTCCTTAAAGATCATTTCCATGACATCATGTGTTTGACTAATACAGCCAGAGGAACTGAATCCTGGCTCCAGGGCATTTGTCTTTGGGTTTCGGGCAGTTCTGTCCAAAGATTTGCTTCTTATTCCCCAGGTTTTCTTCATTGTGCTCAACTCTGAATCTGAGGAGACACAGTCTTGACTCTTCTTCCATTTCCTCAGTTTACGTAAAGCTCCTAGTTTTAAGCTATGCAGAGTGCGTTCCCCATCAGAGCTGCCCTCCGAAGGAGCCAGGCTGCTTGAACTCTTCCTATTGCGTTTAACCGGCATCATGAGTGTTGACTGTGGCTGGTTTTCTGCACTACTCCTTAGTTCACTGAGGGATTCTGAGTAGGAACTCTCAATGGAAGATAACTCTTGAAGCAGATCTTCATTATCACTGTTGGTTACATTAATATTTTTTTGTAGGCCATTGGCAATAGCTACTCGGTAACTGAATGTTGGTGAGAGGGAAAATTCTTTGTTAGCTTCGTCTTCTTCAGTGGATAAGTTGCGAGTGGATGAACACTTGGCAATCTTCTTTACGGTACTTTTCAAGGTATTAGAAAGTCTGGGGGTTTTGGTGTGGCCGGCAGCAGGAAAGTCTTGATTCCTTTTCTGCTCACGATTCTCTTTTTTTTTGTTTGTATTTCCCAATTTCTTTGTAAACATTCCTTTGCAAAGCTTATGTATGTAAGGTAAAATCAGGCTCTTGAAAAGATTAGCCACCATGGAGAGCAATTAGTGCAAACTTCTCTACTCCAAAAACATAAACAAGGCGTCAGGATGAAAATCTGTAAACCCAAGGCAAGCATCACTGTTCAGATGTTCTCTGAATCATTGAAAACAGCTGGAAGGGCAGCGTGGCTCTGCCACAAGGTCAATGTCCTGTGAAAACCAGAAGCAAAGTTCCATTTATGAAAGACATTCTCTCTTGGAGGAGGGGTTTCATGAGTTGCTCTCATTTCCGCATGACTTCAAGTATTGTCTAAAAGAAAGCAATGTAAAAGTGAATATCAGAAATTAATTCTAGACTTATCCCATTTCTAACATTTTTCAAAAGTATTCAAGATACATAATGTGTGAAAAATTGCAGAGGGAGCAGGGTAATATATTAATTTCAATACACCGTTACTTTTAAAACAACTATAAAGCAAATAAGTAGCAGTATCTGTGTTTAAATTACATTTTTTTTCTAAATTATTTATGGGCAGACACAATTGAATGGTAATAAAAGATAATGATAATTTGCAAAGGTTTGTATAAGGTGACAAATTTAAAAGCTATATTAACTGCATATTATCATTTCCCCATTCTTTTATTTCCTAAATTGCATTTACTTAGAAACACAAAAGCATTTAAATTTAAATGTATATCCCCTACCCCAGACATTTAAAATTAATCAAATTAATATTATCCGTATATGTAAGACCTTTTCTTATTCAAGTAATCTTTTACTTTTCCAGGCATTCAATGATTTGGAATTGCTTAAATAATGATTAAAGTAATTCAAGTAAGCCATATGTCATATGCTGAAGTAAATACTAAGAGAAAATACATCTTTTACAGCCATCAGATTTGTCAATGAAATATAATGGTTGAAAAGAAATAGAAGGTTATATCAAATTAGGTATTATAACAACAATAAATCCCATTAGGAAAATATTTTTGGAAAATGCAGAAAGCACATCCAAGTTTTGAAAGGATGTGACTTGAGAGAGCAGAGCCATGCTAATCACCCAGTGCAGCCCTGTGGCAGATGGCAGGAGACTCATCCCCAGGGTTAGCACCATGAATAGCCATAGGTTATCAAATCACAAAAAGAAACTGTGCCACAAATAAAATGTTCCTACGGAGAATCAAGAATTGGTTGGATACAGAAGGAGGAGGAGGAGGAAGGAGAGGGGAAGGAGGAGAAAAAATTTATACGAATTTTGCTGGTTCACTAGCAGTGTGACTTGTATGTAATTTCATTCAAAGAAAATGTTGTTAAATTTAACTCACTGTTTTATTGTTGAAATAGATCGCAGAATAATGGTAGCAGCCAAAAGCCTGTACTGACATTGGACTACACATGTGGGTAGATAAATAATCTATTTCATTCTTTAAAGTTACATCATGAGCTGCATATTGTTTTAGGAGTCAACTGACTCGTTACCAGCTCCCTTCACTTGGAAACCTGCCATTTCTCTTCACTCAGGCTCTGCAGGGACTTAGAGAAAACATGCTCTGGCGGGAGCCAAGCTTCAGGAGAGGCAGGGCTATGGGATGAGAAGGGGAAGCGAAAAGATGAAGGAGAGAAACAGTGACTCTAAAGAAGTCCAGGTCTTCTTGGGTTTCATACTTGTCAGAGACCAGCTCCTCTTGTCTGAAACAATTTGCTGTTCATTCAAAAGTATAAGCCTGAATCTGTTTTCTACTAATAAAAAATGTCAAGAATTGAGTCCTGAATTAATTTAAAACAGTATTTATTGTACCCCATGTGACCTCTCCTTGTGGAGAAAAGACTTTGGAAAGTTAAGTAGTAGGATGGTAACTAAATTACTTTAAGATCAACGTTGGTAGAACAAATTGTTCTATTTACTAATCACTCAGTCCAAGATCCCGGGTCTCCCAAACCTAAAAACAAACAACTACTTTTTTGTTTAAATGAAAGCAGTAATTTTGTCAATGCTTCTGATATTTTCATGAAATTATGTCTGGACTTCCTGACTTATATTACTAATTCAGAACTATGACTTTACAAAATCATTGTGGAAAAAAAAATTTTGAGCAGAAAAATTCAACCCGAATTGAAATCCCGGTTCAGAAAACATGAACCCAAGGGCATGCATCCACATTTACACATACTAATTCACTTGTTCTATATTCCAATCACATACAGTGGCTTGTTATTCACTAAGGGCTCCATGCTCTTTCACACCTCAGTAGCTTTTCTGTTCCCTCTCCCTAGAATATCACTCATGCCAGCAACCCTGTCTGTAAAAATTGTGTTTAAACTCCAAAATCATTTGTCCTGTGAAGACTTCACCAACCACCCAAACTGAGATTTTGTCTCTCTTTGCCACACTGTTCCACAACCTAGCTCATAAGCAATTAGAATTCTGAAGTATAATCTCATTTCTGTCTCCACCTGCTGGACTATGTCCTCTTTAAGGGTAAAAAAATATTACTTATCCTATTTTAAACTTTCTGAACCCAGCATGCATGATAAGCACTCAAGAATCATTTGCAGAAGAATTGGCCCAAAGGGTACAAAGTTTCAGTTATGCAAGATGCATAAATCTTAGAGCTCTACTGCATAGCATAGAGCCTATAGTTAATAATGAGACTGTATTGTATACTTAATGTTTTTGCTAGGAGGGCGGGTTTCATGTTAAGTATTCATGTCAAAAAGTAATAATAAAGCAAGAAGGAAAGGCAGGAGGAAACTTTTGGAGATAATAGATATGTTTATGGCATAGATTATAATGATGGTTTCACAGATGTATACTTTTTTTTATTTTATTGACTTTTTACAGAGAGGAAGGGAGAGAGACAGAGAGTTAGAAACATCGATGAGAGAGAAACATCGATCAGCTGCCTCCTGCACATCCCCCACTGGGGATGTGCCCGCAACCCAGGCACATGCCCTTGACCGGAATCAAACCTGGGACCTGTCAGTCCGCAGTCCGACGCTCTATCCACTGAGCCAAACCGGTTTCGGCTCACAGATGTATACTTATATCCAAACTCATTTTAAAAGTTAAAACAATTGTCACTTACTAATTATCTTCATCTGGTTGCCCCAAATCAAACTCTATTCAAACCTAGTCATTTTTCTTAATTATTCATCTCCATTAATATCATAATAAGTATCTGCTTACTCAAGACTTATACCCAGGACTCATTCCTGGGAATATTCTAGATTGATATCATTCTAGATTCATATAATCTATCCCATATCCATATCCAATGTATGTTATCTCATCCCACTATTAATGCCTTAGTTCTGAACTACATTTCTTATCTGGACTATTACAAATGTATCTTATGTGGTCTTCCTAACTCTAATTTGGCCCTTCACTCAAATCCTCCTCTCTAAAATTAATATATTTTCCTTTTTATTGAATTTATTGGGGTGACATTGGTAAATAAAATTATATAGCCCTGGCCAAGTAGCTCAATTGGTTAGAGATTGACCTGGTGTGCAGCTGAAGTTGCAGGTTCAGTCCCTGGTCAAGAAGCAACCAATGGATGCATAATAAGTGAAGCAACAAAACTCTATGTGGTCTTCCTAACTCTAATTTGGCCCTTCACTCAAATCCTCCTCTCTAAAATTAATATATTTTCCTTTTTATTGAATTTATTGGGGTGACATTGGTAAATAAAATTATATAGCCCTGGCCGAGTAGCTCAATTGGTTAGAGATTGACCTGGTGTGCAGCTGAAGTTGCAGGTTCAGTTCCTGGGCAAGAAGAAACCAATGGATGCATAATAAGTGAAGCAACAAAACTCTCTCTCTCAAAAAAAAAAAGAATTAAAAATATATTATTAAAATAAAAAAAATTAAATTACATATTACATAGGTTTGAGGTGTACAAAAATATGAATATATTCTTAAAAGATAAAAATTGTCCCACTTAAAATACTACCTGTCTTAGGAGACTCATTTCCTATCACTCCCACAAGCACATCTGCCCCAGCCACATTGAGGTAGTAACAGTTTCCTGATTACCACATAGTTGCCTCACAAATGTGCCTTTTTTCAAGCTGTTCTCTCTGCCTCCATTCCTTTCATGAATATCTCTAGAATTAAGATAGATCTTCATTAAACTACAGTCCATCTGAATTTTTTACTCACTTCCATTGCTGCTCTTTGATTTAGTAGTAAACAATGACACTAATACTTCTACTAGTACTTTGGGATCTACAAAGTATTTTTTGTGTGTAAAGTTATATGATCTTCATGGTAACCTTACAAGTGTATTATCTCCAGTTATTGTTATAGACAGTGAGTCTCTTAGATGCTCAAGTGGTTGCTGGTGTCTCCTGACTTTAAAGTTTGGTTTCTTCACTATAATAATTTTTTTAAATATATGTATATATTTTATTGATTTCAGAGAGGAAGGGAGAGGAAGAGAGAAATAGAAATATCAATGATGAGAGAGAATCATTGATTGGCTGCCTTTTACACACCCCCTACTGGGGATCAAGCCCACAACCCCGGCATGTGCCCTTGATCGGAATCAAACCCAGGACCCTTCAGTCCTCAGTCTGATGCTCTATCCACTGAGCCGAATCAGCTAGGGCCACTTTAATAATTTAATTTACATTCGCCTTACTTTAGACCTTTAATAGCTTACTGGTCTCCTAAAGTAATATTTTCCACCTTACAAACCATCCCATGGACTGATTTCCATCTCACCTTCCTTAAATGTCATTTTCCTTTTTTTTTTATCTCCTACTAAATACTATTGCATACCCTGTACTCTGGACCATTCATGGATCCACTAAGCTTATTTTTTGTGGTTTATTCACTCTTCTTAGAATGTCCCCTGGTTTCAACCATTGAGGACAGATCAAAACTAAACTTTTCCATGAAAATTTAACTACTCAAGTCATCTTCCTTTTTTCCTGTCCTTATTGTCTGAACCATGAAATTTATTCCATAATTATTCTTCTAAACTATTTATCAAAAACAGTCTTTGCACATGTTTTTCTAATTTTTGTCTATTATGTGCCAGACACTTTCTTGAATGCTCTGTATAGACTATTACATTGATATTTGACCATAATCTCTGCAGTAGGTACTGTTATTAATCCCCACTTTATAGATGAAGAAACAGAACCTAAGTAACTAGCCCCAAGCCACATAGGTGGGAAGTGATGTGGCAAGAACTGTATCCCAAACTAACTGGCTTCAGGGTCCATTACACTAAATAAATCTATAACAAGAAATTATGAATATTGCTGGCAAATTGGTACATTGATTAGATGTCCACACAT